ACACAGATCTTTGTATTACAGAGAATGTGTTATGAATAATACGAAGTTTTAAACCAAGTAATATTGTGCTCCTCCAGCTCCTCTTATTTTACAAAGAAGCTGAGAATATACTACTTCAATCAATTCAGTCATGCGAACAAAATAAAAGTATGTTCTTCTAGAGAGTTGAGACTATGAGGTCATAAAATATAAAATATAACTAAACAGTCATAAAGGAGCTACTTGCAGATCCATGTGTAGCAACAAGAAAACAAGTATCATAGTTGTGAGTGCATGCCTCAAGACAAATAATAAAACGATGTGCTCAAAGGCCTCAAAGTGATGTTGATTTCTTTAAAAGGCAGCCGGTTTGTTTTCATCATGAAGAAGTTAAACTTATTGTCAAATACAGCAATTAATTAATTGGAGGACAACGTAAAAGTAGGTTGAACCTGTAAATTAGCCCAAGAAGATAATGACCAGCAGCACCATTTGGAACCTGAGCATAAACAGTTAAACATGAGCCATTCCTCTTCAGTAAGAGCAAAAGTAAACATGAACTTGTACCATTATGTAAACGATTCTGCAAACAATATAATGAACCAATGATACTGGGCATGTTAAAGTTGTACCTCTGAAGTTGGACCATCAGTATGGGATAAAGCCATTTCTGCTTCATTAAGAAGGTCCATCTGAAAGCACGACAGTGCAAATAAGTAGCGCGATTGAGCCATGTGTGTTCCTTCATGAGACAATTTTAAGAAAAAGAAAAATAAGCACAATTTTTAGCTTCAAATACTTTAAACCATAAATGAACGAAACTAATATAGTTCCGATGTCAACAAGAATTCAATCTAAATACCTTTGAGGATGTGGTATGCAGCATAGGCTTGATTATTCTGCATGTAGCAAGCAGCTAGCAACTGCATATTTATCTGCATTTGGAAAATCATGTTTCAAAAAATGTACGGATGTCCTAAAAGCAACTCGGTACAAGTTCATTATATGTTATGAACAATAGTTAAATGAAACTCCGTATGTATTAGAAATTACAGATCATGGATCATCAGTAAGTGGAGAGGCTACCGAAAAAAGAGTAATCAGCTTACATTTCTCGAATAGATTGAAATTTTAAATGCTCACCCTAGTTTTTACTTTCCTCTAGGCTATTCCTGTGTTCTCAAAAGACAGCACAGTGTAACTGCCACTAGGTAAGAAATTATGATACACTTTAATCTCTCAGTTAAGTTTCTTGCACAGTAGTTCTTCACATGCTAACATCTTAACTCAACGATGGGATATTAGTAATTTAGTACTACATCCATCCCATTTAAAGGTTCGTGTCCACTATTCTCCCGTCAACTTAAATTGTTCTTGATCTTTTACTTTATATATCCAACTTTTATCAAATTGATTTTTTTTGTGACTATATAAAACTTTTAATGTAGAGTCTGAATATTTAAATTTTATTTAATAAAAATAATCTTATTATTGACAAGTATCAATTAACTTTCAAACATCTTTAACAGAGGGAGTATATGTTATACAATCGCTTTCTTGCCTTGACTAAATGCAATATGAAATCTAACTGCTAGTGAATTATAAGAATCTCTGGCTGAGATGAATGGAGGAATGAGTGAAGTAGTATTAAACTACTGAAGCTTCGGATTTTCAGCTCCAGCTGAAAACCTTTGAGTACATTAAGTAATCCAGCTACACAAACTTCAAAACTAAACATGAATGCCAAATTAAATTTACATCATTCGAATTAAACCACAACGCAATCCAATTTTTTTATACAAGGAATCAACTGGATACAATTATAAATAAATAAAAATGTATGATTGAAGAACCCTAAACTGTTTCCAATGAATGTGGATATTCAAGATTGGGAAATATTATCAAATTAACATTTTTACTAAATACGGAAGTTATAGCCGATACAAATTTTGAGCGCCATGACGCGCCTACCTCTGACGGGGCTTCGGCACAGAGTCGTTCGCACATAAAAATGGCGTTGCGGTGCATGAAGTGCCGCAAACTGTTTTGCACACAATCTACGAGTATGGCTTCCATGGCTAGGAGAAGAAGAAGCTGGGATCGGTCTTATTACCAAAATACCACTGGAAATATCATGAGACTTCGAAATATGGTAATTATACGGTACACCCGGTTGTACGGTCCTCACCGTACAACCAGGTATTTTTGCAATTAATTATAACTCCAATGGTAAGGATTATGTGGTCTTCTTCTTGTGCTGATCGTTGATGTCTGCGCGTAGGGCTGAGCAAAACCCGATCCGACCCGAAAAACCCGATATTTTTTCGGATACTATCCCAACCGAAGTGGATATCCGACCCGAAAAACCCGAAACCGAAAATCCGATTATTATTAGGCCTAGACCGGGTGGCGGGTAGGGTTTGTGAAATCCCAACCCGACCCGCCCGAATATTCGAAATATATGTTAGTGTGTACTTTGAATATTTAAATTAATACTTGTGTTCAATTATTTGTGTAATTATTTGTGCAATTTGTATTAAATTATTTGTGTAAATTGAATGTGTAGTGAACTAGTGTGTACAATTTGTGTTAAAGTGGCATTCCAACACTTTAACTATCCAATATAATGTGTTTTGATATAATCAAAATATCCGAAATATATTAAATTATATAGTGTGTACTTTGAATATGTTAAATTAATACTTGTTTTCAATTATTTGTGTAATTATTTGTGCAATTTGTGTTAAATTATTTGTGTAATTTGGAAGTTTAGTGCACTAGTGCGTACAATTTTTGTCAAAGTGACATTTAAACACTTTAATTATCTAATTATAATTTTTTTAATATAACCGAAATATCTGAAACCCGACCCGATATCCGATAATATCCGACTTAAAAATATCCGAAATACCCAATTTGAAATATCAAAGGAGAGCTTTTTTTCCATATTAATGCTAAAAAATAAACTATTTACAAAATTGATGCAAGGTTAAAACTATTTACAAGAATATTGCTCAAATTAATCATACTTGGGAGAATCGCCAAACCAAATGGCGACTTTCCTCCCACAGTCCCACATGTGAACCACAGCGTCCGAAGGAATAGAAACACGGCCTATTGCTATGGAGAGGAGATAAGGCGGCCAGGTGGGATCTAAATTAAAAAATTCACTTTTTCTTTAAAGTGCTCTATTTTTTACATTTTTGCTTGAAACATTTTAAAAAATATACCAAATTTCATAACTTTTTATGATCTTTCATATAACACCAATATTGGATATATAAAATTTTAAAAAATCTGTAGACCATATAAGACGATAAGGCCCGTTACAACCATGATCCGTCAATAAACATAATTCTAAACTAAGAATACTTTTTACTTGGACTATTTTCAATCTTAGACCGACCAAACTTAAACAGACTAAATCAGACTAGACCAAATTTTAACAAACAAGATGAGACCAGAGTTTCATACTATAAAATACACAGAGACCATACATTTTCCAGTCCAGAGCAGTTCAGACAAAACAACTACATACCAAATCAGCAAATTTTAGTCCAAACAAAAACATCCTAATACGTAGTATGTATTTTTCAAAAATATGAAAAACCGATTAGTAATTTCGGTTCAAAGTTTTCATAAACAAATCTAAATGTAAAATTTTTATATCTCATTGTTAAGTTTACCTCGTAGATACAACCTCCGTCCCGCTGGAAGGTTCCCATAGCAAAACACCACGGTTATTTAGGTGATAATTAAATAAAGTACTTCGGGTATATTTTGACAAATAATTATAATAGGTATATATTATAATGTGTTAGTATTGATAACTGTGATGTTATAAATGTATTATTTTTAATATTTAATGACTAATTTGTCACTTAAGATTGTTAATTGCTTCCTAAAATGGAAATGAGAACCTTCTAACAGGATGTCCAAAAAAGGAATGTGGGAACCTTCTAACGGGACGGATGGAGTATTTCTTAATAGAAAGTAAAGAAATATGTTTGATGAATATATTGACGGTTCTAGATTTTATGAAAAATGTCACCCCATCAATCAAGTTTTACCATACGACTAGCATCGTCGATTCGCTGAATATATTTTTACTTTACTTCAGATGAAAAATATACATAAACGATTTTAAAAATAGCTATGAGATCTTAACTTTAGCAATTAATCTATTAATGAAAAATTTTGAACCTAAGTCAACATATTAGATCTTACCATTTTTGTAAAAAAAAAAATGGTTTACAATTAAGTTTAGTGACGGAGCATGGATGCAACAAGTGTTTTCACTCTATACGGTCTTCAGATTTTTTTTTTAAATTTTTTATATATAATATTGGTGTCATATGAAAGATTATAAAAAATTATGAAATTTGGTATATGTTTTAAATACATTGGAACAAAATTGTAAAAGATATATCAGTTTAAAGAAAAAGGGGATTTTTTTAATCGAATGTCTTCCACCTTATTATTTTCCCCTGCACAATGACGTCTCTCTTATTCCAAGCTGCGGACAGCTTTATGTGTTTGCTAACCATAGTTTAAAGTAGCAGTACATTGGTAAATAATTTTAACTCAACCTTATTTTTGTAATTAGTTATTTTTTTAGTATTAATTGAGAAAAAAACTCATCAAAGAGTCAGGCCTAGTATTTAAATTTAAAAACCCGAACAGGTTTAGGGTTCGAAAACCCGACCCGCCCGAACCCGACCCGTGCACACCCCTATCTGTGCGATCGATCGATGTCTGCGCGTTGCTCGCTCGCTGAAGCCTTGGAATTCCGATGACGGATGATTTCTTATGCGCTTGCTGGGAGTTACGATGAAGGAAGAGTATGTGGTTGCCTTTAGGCAAAGTCATCTATTCTATCTATTCTATTTTTTATATATAAGAAAGTAAATAGCTCTGCCAAAGACCATTTTGCCCCTGCTTAATTTGTCTCCTTTGTTATTCTAATGCCACGTGGCTGCCTAATTTGAAAGGCAGAAAGGGCGTTTGCCTTCATCACCCAAAAAAAAAGAATAACGCTTCCTCTTTCCATCTCTATCATCTCGCCCTCTGTCGATCGCCATCTCTAATCGTGGTATGCGATAACATAGCGCCTGGCTCTTCACTGAACAAGGATTCCTCCAAATTCCACCGCCACATTAGGTCTTCATACTTTCATTGCCCCTAGAACCAGAGGTACTATCTCCAATCTAATTCTTCATTTCTCCAATTCTTTGTTCTCTAATCTAATTCTTCCTAAATGGAGCTTCAGTCCAGCATTCATTATATTGTGCACATATGTTGTTTGATTAAATGTTCATATATGTGATCTAACGGAACATCTATATGATTTGAACTATTTAGACTTATTGTCCCCTTTATTTCTTTATTCAAAATAGCTTTTTTCATCTGTAGCTTTTTTCACATGCCTATTTCCTTTGAACTGATTGTTTAGTTGTGTCATATCACTCATTTAATGTGTTCAAGAAAAAATAAGGCTTTGACAAAATAAGACTGAATTTTCTTCTTAGAGTTGAGTAGGTCAATCTGTTTCCAATTCCTTCAAATGCATCTTGTTTATTCTCTTTTTTTCATCATGTTTTCTTCTTGCTCTGTCATTTTTTGAAACACAAACTGTTTGTTTTATTCTTTTTTCACGAGTGTTTAAACATTTGTTTAAAACACTTGCTGAACTATAGCAATAGACATAGAGAGCTATAGCAAAAAACTGATTTTTCTTCTTAGAGTTGAATAGGTAAATTTGTTTTCAATTCTTTCAAATGCATTTTTTCGGTTTCAGGCAGTCTGTTTTATTTTATTCTGTCATTTTCTTTTTTTGTTCATCCATGTCAACAAGCCCACCATTTTCTGAAATACTATGTATCATATTAAAACAATCTAACTAATATTATCAAACATTTGTTTAAAAAAAATGTTGCACATGTTGAACTATACAATCAAATATACTCTTAAACCAATCAGTACGTGAAGTGCAATTTTTTATGCTGTTAAGAAAAAGATCGAACTTATGTTCTGATCTTTAACTATTACTATATTTTTAGTTCTAGACATAAAGAAAAATAAGGTAGTAGGAAAAAGTAGTAAGGGGCTAACTATAAGAGTGGAGAGGGGGTCTAAATATTAATTTAGATCTACTGAGCTTCAATATACATACGACAAATAAATTAACTAACCAATGGTTTTAGTTCTTTATTATGCTTTGTTGTTGTCATCCTCTGCTAGATGAACTAAAATGATTTATGATTGTGGTGCTTCATATTCCTAACTGGGTTCGTAGGATGTATACACCTCGATTTATCAACTGTTATTACTTTCCCTTAATATAACAAATTAAACAGTTGAACTGATAGAACATCTGTATTTCACTAATATTTCTGGCTGAGCTAATCTAAACTACAATTTGTTTGGTTACTGTCTATTTTATTTCAATTGATTCTTTATTTTATTGCTTTACCCATTTGTAGCCTACAAATGAAGAAGAAAAAGAAATTAGGAAACATAAATCTGAAGAAGTGCCTGCACTTTCTGAAACTATATCAATGATTATAGGGAATTAGGTGATTGAAAGAAAAAAGGAGTTAACAAAATGAAGTGCAGGGAATTGGTGAGATTTTTCATAGTCTGAGGGAATTTTTATGAACAATGAAGTTAAACAAACTAACTATTAGCATCAAACATTGTTTAAAGAAGTGCCTGCTACTTGCTGAACTATAGCAATAATCATAGGAAATTGGGTGGTTGAAACAAAAAAGCAGGACTTAACAAATTTATGGAGAGAATGAATTGTGTGAGACTTTGCAGAGTCCAAGGGGATTCTTTTGACCAATGAAGTTCAAAACACTAATTAATAGCATCAAACATTTGAATAAAGAAGTGCATCAAACATCTGTTTAACTAATAGCATCAAACATTTGTTTAAACACTTGCTGAACTATAGCAATAATCATAGGGAACTATAACAAAAAAACTGATTTTTCTTCTTAGAATTGAATAGGTAAATCTATTTTCAATTCCTTCAAATGCATCTTTTTTGTTCTATTTTTTTGTTGAGCATGTTTTCTTTTTGTTCTGTATTTTTTCATCCATGTGAATTTCTCTTTAAAAAAGGAGAATATAGACTGAGTGAGTGTAGATATGACAAAAAACCGACTTTACGCTCAAAAGCTTTGCAATATGAGAAAATAATCCATTTGCATATGAAATCTAACTAAACATCTATGTCAATCATAAATTTTTAGCCGTATGGGAAAATTATGTTTGATTTGTGTTGACAGTGCTTTTCTTCAGTTTTTGAGAATATGAAATACATTACCCCTTCTGCAACTTTGTGTGAGTACTTCTCAAAAACTGAGAAAAAGATATTGCTTTGCTAAAAAGTTTTTTTGTTTGGACTGATTCTTTACTTTATTTTTTAAAAGGGCCTATTTTGTTTGGAGTGATTTTTTAGTTTATGTTTTAAAACAACCTATTTTGTTCTCACTGATTCTTTACTTTATGCTTTAAAACTGCATATTTTGTTTGAACAGATTCTTTAGAATAAGAGAGTAGGAAAAATAGAATCTAGGTACTAACTATAATAGTAAAGAAGGGGCCTAAAACATAATTTACATTTTAATGGGCTTCAATATATATAGCAGATTGCAGAATAGATAGGGAAATTACAGAGTCATGAAGTTGTCATATTTATTAGTGCTTTATTCAAACTTTAATAGGTTATAAAACACGCTGTCATTGTGCCTGCAAATGAGTAGAGTTGATGGAAATTTTCTGCTTAGCGTGAAACTGAAGTGATTTTATACTCTGATTCAGTGAAGTCTTCATTTGTGGATAACTGCATATACTAATTGATATGCATTTTACAAATCAAAACATATCCAAACGTTCTGCACCAGACATCACATTCACCTTCACAGTTATAGGTTGTTTCTATATTTAGTTAGATTGATAAAATATACACGCATCTCTCTGCCATTCACTTTTCCTTTTAATCCTTATGTCCCATTGAGCTGATAGAATGTGTTGTGGTGTTTTTGTCACGACTATATTCTAAACTTTCCCAAAGACCCTTTCAATTGATCCTATGTTAATATTGTTGTTTATAGTGAGTTGTTCTCAGTTTTTCCAATATTCAACCAATTATATTTCTGTTAGTATTATAGGTTTGCCCCTTCAACCAAATCAACCAACTTTGCAAGCACAAAACCTTGGATGTGTGAACGACAAAGTATGTTGAACTTTAGCATACAAAAAGTCTATCTAATAGCAAAAAAAACATTTTAATAAAAAAGGCATGTACATGTTGAACTCTAGCATCAAACATTCGTTTAAGAGAACCAGTATGTGAATTGTATATTCTTAAGACGGTTTTGGGCCTACATTCGGATTCTTCTTTAAGATCATAATCAACATTCTTAATTTGTTTTCCTTGGAGAAGTTTATAACAGTCATTCTCATACTTTACTTTTTTTCGTTTTCCTTCTTTGATCCCCTTTATTTAGAAGTGTAGTTTATAGCAAAAAAATGAAAGATACCAACCTAAGGATATACCTTAAATTGTGTTGATTGGAGTAGTTTAAAGCAGTCATTTCATACTTCTCTTTTGGCCCTCCCTGTTCCCCTATTTCTTTGGACAGATAGCTCACCTTTTTTTTAACAATGCAATTAAAATGACAATATAACATGGCTGTTTTTCAATATGACATAGAGTTGAACATGGTTGTAGCTCTAATCGGTTCTACCACTGTTTTAGGAGGAATACAAGAAAATAACTTCTAAAAGGCAATGCATGTTTTCTTTTTCTTTATTACCCTTTCAAGTTTATTAAAATTAAATAAATAACATTCCTTTCCCCTACTTTAGAAAAGAGGAGTTTAGGCTATGTTTCCAGAACATACGACATGATTTTTTGGTCTAATTTCACTTTGAATGGTAATACCCGTGCTCTTTTCCTTTATTCCTTTATTCACTTTTAAGTGTAAGTAAATTACAAAAATATGGCCGAGAGTTTTCAAATTCTCAGCAACCATTCTCAATATGGATTTCATTTTATAGTACTACTACAATCCTGGAAGAGAGGCCTGCTCAAAAACAACCTGCTCAGAAAGAACTTTTTGATAGTTTATTATGTGTCCCTAATATACCTTTATTCATTTAACATGATTAGAAATAAAATTTTGATGGCTTATCATATGTTTGGATTATTATTTTCCGTTATTTTAAATAATAGAACAAAAAGAGGAGAATGACTAAAGAAGTGATCCTCAACTCGATTTTTTACACTAATTAAATATAAAAATTTCTGTCCAAAGTCTTTACACCTTCCTGAAGCATGTTTTCAACTTTATTATCCCCACAATCTTACCTGAATAATCAAGAACAATTATCATTCACTGTTATTGTGTAAGTGAAGTGCTACTATATACGTTCCCGAAGTGCTACTATTTCGCCAAAAAAATCATCATCCTTTTGCACACAAGAGTTTCTAGGAGTTCTTTGAAGGAAAATGCATTTGCGCTGGATATAATAGCATATTTTTTCAGCTTCTCTGTTTTAACTATTTGAGCTTCCACTACTGTAATATGTTACCATGTACTTTTTACAGTAATTAATGACTAAGAATTACTATATGTGTATAGGACCCCCTATTCAAGGTAGAGTTACTTTAATCATGCATGTACATAGAGTGATGGCTTTCTATAAATATCATCCAACTCATTTCTCTTTTGTTGTCTTTATTTGTTCCTTTCCTATCCTTTTTTATCTTTTTTTCACTTAAAAATCTCACAACAATTGTTTTCTATGCAGTTTTCATCGAAGCGCTCTCGCTATCTCTATTGTGTTTGTATGCAATCTGAAGCGAAGTTTCCTGATTCTAAATGCTGACACATCAAACAGGAAGGGGAAAGAAAGAATGAGGGAACATAAATGTATCGGAGAAGGCGGAGCTTAGGACACATGGGGGAGAAGAGTATTAATGTAAGTTTATTGCTTTACTGAGATACTTTTTTCATCTATAGCCTATAAATGAAGAAGAATAAAAAAAGTAGGGAAAATTAGCAAGGGACTCACTACAAGAGCAGTTGAAGGGGCCTAAGCTTCATTTAGATCTTACTGGACTTCAATAGATATAGCAGAACTGATTAACTTTTCATGGCAATATAGAGTTATAAATAGAGAATATATATCAGCACTTCATTAAGACTTTAAAAGCTTGGAAATGTGAGGTCACACTGCCTGCAAATGAGTGGAGTCCAAAGGGATGTTCTCCTTAGTGTGAAACTTACATGCTTTGGTACCCACGCAATACTTGATTGCTGAACTATATAATCAAGCATACAATCAAACATTTGAACTATACAATCAAACATTTTTTTTAAAAATGCCTGCACATGTTGAACTATACAATCAAGAGCACTAGCTGAAATAAGCTATGTAAGTCAATTCTTGAATGAAAGAGTACAAGCTGACATGAAGACAATAAGCTATGAAAGAGTATTAGCAGACATAAAGAAGTGCAGACAGTTTAGTGGGCCATTCTGCTTTATAGCTTTTGTCTTCATAAAATTATACATGATTAACCATCATTAAGAATTGATTTCTACATCTTAGTTTATGACTTGCTTATATATTTAACTTTGTTTTTCTTAAAGATACTGAAATTTTTGGGCTAAGATAGAATTCATATATCCCAAGTATATTTTGTATACATGTTGTTTGATGAAATGCTTACTTGGTCTTTCATAATAAGAAAATGGAGCATTATATGTTCTTAAGTTAAATTTTCCTTCCAAAACAAATAAAACTTTAATATAGGAGAGGGCTTTATTAGCTAGGCTAACTCCATGTTAAAGAACAATTAAAAAAAATAGTAATAAGTTGCTCTATATTCTTATATATGTTGCTTGAATAAATGTTTAGATAATCTTAGCAAAACACCATTATAGTTATAAGTTTACAATAGTTAGAGGTCCAATGTAAGACGCCTATGAGTTTGGTTTGGGTTTTAAGAAGATGAAGGATAAAGTAGTTGTTTTACAATTCTAATCTCCAAAAGCTAAGAAAGAGAAAAAAGGATACATAAAATATAAAGGCTGAAATAATAGATAAAGGATAAAATGAGAAAGTGAAGAGTTAGGGGGAGTCCAGTTTAATAAAGTGTTCATATGTTTTGGACAACGTAAAAATGAAAGTGCATTTTACAAAATGGGATAGAGGGAGTATGTAAAAAGCTACTCCATATAAGTTTGATAGGATATATTTTTGCATCTATGATGTTAAATTTTCCTTTCAAAAAACAGAACTTTAATATAAAAGAGCGTTTTATTAGCTAGGCTAACTCCAAGTTAAATTTTAAAAGCAAAACTTTAAGAAGACGAAATCTAAATTACCCTAATCTAATGCTCCTATATTCACTCTCAATCTATTCAGGAGTCCATTGGAAATCATATTTTTATCATGAAAAAAGGCATGTTTATTTTGTTATTACAGATTGGAATTCAGAGGGTTAAGATAGTGCTCATGTACCCTAAGTATATTTTGCACATATGTTGTTTGATGAAAGGCTTATTAGTTGAGCTTTAATAATAAAAAAGAGAACTTTAATAGTTGAAAATGTAGTTTTCTTCTTTAATTCTACGTTCTTATATATGATGTTTGGGTAAGTGTTTAGATAATATTAAAAAAACACAATTATAGTTATAATTTCACAATACCTAGAATCAAATAAAATTTCAAATTGCATGACAGATTGATAAGAAACAAAGCAACTTAAAGAAGATGAAATCTATTCTATCTTAAGATGGCTACCACATTGCTCTTTTTTAAATCTAATGCTCTGATATTCACTCTCAATTTATTCAGGAGTCCATTGGAAATCATGTAAATATCATGAAAAAAAGACATGTTTGTTTGTACCAAAGATGTTGAAATTCGATGGCCATATTGCTCTTTTTTAAATCTAATGCTCTGATATTCACTCTCAATTTATTCAGGAGTCCATTGGAAATCATGTATTTGTCATGAAAAAAAGACATGTTTGTTTGTATCAAAGATGTTGAAATTCAATGGGCTGAGGTAGGGCTCATGTACCCCAAGTACAAGTATATTCTGCTCACATGCTGTTCAATGAAATGCCTAGGTGAGCTTTAATAATAAAAAAGCAGAACTCTAAGTAGAAATTGTAGTTTTTTTCTTCAATTCGTTGGTTTTATTATACATTGATCGGCTAAATGTTTAGATTTTCTTAGAAAAATAGCATTGTAATTATAAATTCAAAATAGCCGGAAGTATACTGTCTATTTTTTAAAAATATATGATCTTCTTAAGTTATAAGATAAATAGGACATGCATTTCGCATACATGATGTTAAAATTTCCTTCCAAAAAAACAGAACTTTAATATAAATTTATAACAAGAAAATTAAAATTTTAAGAAGATAAAATCTAATCTACCTTAAGATTGCTGCAATAATGCTCCTTAGCAGCCATTTTCATTCATTTCTTTTTCATTTTGCTTTCAGAAACACATTCAAAAGTGCTGTTATATTAGCGTTGCTATATTAGTATTATTCTACATAGTCGAATAGTATTATGTTGTTGATATGCTACTATCGAGAAATGGACAATGAAGTACCTTAAATACCACTCTTTGAGGAGCACTACAAAATAACTTCTCAAAGGAAATGCCTCTTTTCTTCTACTAGGACAATAAACTTTCTTATATGACAATTTATTTTTTCTTTTCTTCTATTTTTGGTTTGAAGTTGACATCTAAGCAGTGTACTGTTGTATAATGTTTTCCAGAACGAATGTGTGTATGGCTTATTTGCTCCTTAGTACTTGCTACCACAAAATATTGCTCTTACTTTAAGATATATTTCTCTCTATCTCAACTCCTTATTGCAGCAGAGTACCATCAGCCCATCAGGTTACCTCAACAGAATTGATTGGAATTTTTATGGATTATGAATTGAATAGACTGAGTATTGATTTTTAAAAGTGTGTTTATCATATGAACATCACAATGTCAGTGACAACTAATGGATATTATTACTTCTTCACTACAACTAGATAATCATAGTTTGATGGTAATTAATATTAACATCACCTTTTATTTAAATCTATGTATGAGGGTTTTGATCTTTTTTACAGGTTTTGTAACACTGTGGGCCAAAGGCATCTTCTTTACTTTTTTTGCTTGCTCTACACCTTCATGGCGGAAGGGGTGAAAGAAAACTTTATCCGTGTTCTTCATGCACCAATGCTTTAGCTTTTTTTTGCTCAATTTGGATTCTTGCAAATAACAATATTCTTTAGACTTAGAGATACTTGATGTTTAAATTGTTTATACTTAACAGCATAAGATGAATTACAAGAAGCTTACAAATCCCCTTATTCATGGTGGAAAGAGAGGAGCTCTGTGTACACTGAGATGTGCAGCTGGTGAAGGTGAAGGAAGTGTTTCGGTCAACTTCGTGAGAAGCAAAAAGGAGGAAGGGCTAAAGGAGGTTTCTATTGCAAACGGGCAACAAATTGGGCCAATCAAACATACAATGGGCCAATGGCTATTTCCGTGCGATGGCCCAGGCCGAGGCGGTACCCTGCTCTGTTTTTTCTTTTAGCTTTTGTTTGGCATGAGTACTAGCCTAAAGATAATACTTAATAATAACATACTTAACAACCATGTAATTATGTAAACGAAGTACTCGTATTGTCATTTGAGATACTCTTCGCTGCGTTACCCGCGTGTGGTTAGCGTGAAACGAGGAGAAATATCTCGGACAAAGCCTAGATACGTAGTGAAACTAGGGTTTTCAGGCAAGCAGACAGGGGCGAATGGTAGACGGGGTAAGAGCGTCAACGTTGTGGGTTAGAGTGGTAGAGGTGGTCGTGTATCGGGGGTTTTAGATGTTTTGGGAAGGTACTGGGGTTTTTACTTTCTAGATGTGATTGGGTAGGGATAACGGATAGATTTCACAAGATTGGTTTTTAATTGAATTTAATTTAATATGGAGTCGGTGATGGTATCATGTTGTAACAATTATATAGATAATAGATAATAGATAATAGATAATAGTAATAATAGTAAATATAATTACAGTAAAATATTTATAATAGAAAAATATTATATTTAAAAATAATATTTATAATATAAAAATATTATATTTAAAACATATTTTATGAATAAAAATAAAGAAAAAATATATGAAGAATAGGTAAAGTTGTCCTCTGCAATAACTTCAATTTTACTTATTTTGATTATTGCACAATTTAGCGTGCAAAATCAAAAGTTACGTGTTTAGTGAAAAAGTTGGTTGTAAGACGAGAATGGATCACCAAACGGACTCCTACTTAATTAAGGTGATTTTCATTATTATATTACTTTGACACCACTCGTACTACATCCTGGCTCCGCCCCTATGCATATACGTACTCATTATTTGTCATTATAACGTTCTCATTATTTGTCATTATCATAATGCATTCATGTTGCGGATTCATTCAAATAGCTATTTGCTAGCATAGCGAGACATAGGAGAAGGTTTTTCTTCCGTCCCACCGTGTAAGGTATAATCCGTATTTATTTTGTGGTTTTTACGAAAAAATAGTGTTACTCTCTAGATTTAACTTGACTAACATTTCAATTTTTCATTTTATGCATACCTTTATGAATCAAATCAGACCGGACCAGCAAATTTCAGTTTAAAAGAAGACATTCATACAATCCTCCATTTTTTAGTTAGGAAACATTGGTAATTTTAAAATATTCACATGATCTATTTTGACTTCATTTTATTTATTAATGCGCGGATTTTTTTTGAAAACTATTGTTGAGTTCGTCTCATTACAAATTTTCATGATCCATTTTTATTGTTGATGAGTTCGTCTCATTACAAATTTTCATGATCCATTTTTATTGTTGATGAGTTCGTCTCATATTTTGATATCTAGGAAGTTGCAATCCTCAGATCCTCATTTGTGATGTATTTAGTCCTTCCAGAGAAAATACGACTTTTGAGTCCATGTACCAATCTGCATTTTAAATCAGATTCTATGTCATGTATATGTCCAATAATTCTTTAAATATGATAAATGCAAGCACCAAACTACAACATTAGACTGTTATTATAATAGCGATGTACTAATCCAAAAGGGGATAGTACTATTATTGATTTTATTTTTTTTACTATGACTATTAACATATAAAATTTGTAATATATATCTTATTAAAATATTATTCTTATAGTTTGTTTTAATATTATTATGGGAAATTACCTTAAATAGGAGTAACTGAGTTTTGAAATTCCAAAATATGACTACTATGTTTTTCTTCCCGAAATATGAGTTGTTACAGCCATGTATGAAAAAAATATTGTCATGATTGAAAAATATTGTCATTAATTATAATAAATACGGCCATATAAAATGAACTGTACTGCAACTATTTGACAGTCACGCCTACAAGATGGCAGTAAATACTGACATGTTAGTCTTATTTCGGGAATAAAAACATGGTAGACTTATTTTGGAATTTCAAACTCCATTTACTGCTATGTTGGGAAATTTCTATGTTATTATTATTGTAGTTGTCATCATTATTACAAGTATTATGGCTAAACTTAACTCATATGAAGTAAAATTTATTACTAAACTATAGATATTGTATTAAATACATGAGATCCAAAATTTGCACTTGAAATTTTTAGGAAAGAGTTATTAATACTTTATCTTAAAAAATCAAAAGCACCGATGAAGGCGATGATTGTAAAGATGCATCAGGTATGAAAAAAGTATTGGTGTAATAATCAAGAATCAATAAAAGTTTGTTCAGTATGCATCTTAAATTGCACATTTTTATTGTTTGACCTTTCTAGCCCTCTTCTTCTGTTTCCATTGTGTTCCTTGCCCTTAAGATGAAAAGAAACCCGCAACCATTCTATTTGCTTTTAAACTCATTAGTAAGTTTAATCTACTACATTTCAACATTTATTTTGGTTAAGATAAAAAAAATCTTTTACCTCTTTCCAATAAAAAACATTCCAATGGAATTAAGGCCCCCTGGTCTCATCCTCAAACAGTGTTGCAGCAAAGACCATTTAATTAGCCGTTAACTTTTGATTTCACGCGCAGAGTTATGTAATCATAAGAAAAAGTAAGACCGAAGTTACTTCTCTGATTGTATTGGCTACAGTTACTATGTCAGATCATTTTAGATGTTTTTTCATATAATTTTTTTCTAAAGTGAAGTCGTTGGCAATTTATATGGGAATACCACTTTTTATTGGAACATGAACCTATTATATATATATATATATATATATATATATATATATATATATATATATATATATATATATATATATGCACACACACTTCTTTTTATTTAATCCAATATACATGTCTTAGACAAATTGCCAATGCAATGCATTGGTTACATTTAAGGAATAAATACATTTAAGTGAGATTAGTAGACATTTAGGAAATTGTAATCCTCCTCATTTAGGATAAATTTAGTCCTTCTGCAGAAAACATGACTTTTGAGTCCATATACCAATCTACAATGCAATGGTTACCTTTAAGGACTAAATACATTTAAGTAAGATTAGTAGACATCTGGGAAATTGTAATCATCCTCATTTGTGATATATTTAATTAGTCCTTCTAGAGAAAACATGAATTTTGAGTCCATATACCAATCTACAATGCATTGGTTACCTTTAAGGACTAAATACATTTAAGCTAGTGAGATTAATAGACATTTAGGAAATTGTAATCCTCCTCATTTGTGGTATATTTAGTCCTTCTGGAGAAAACTTGACTTTTGAGTCCATATATCAATCTACAATCCATTGGTTACCTTTAAGGACTAAATACATTTAAGTGAAATTAATAGATATCTAGGAAATTGTAATCCTCCTCATTTGTGATATATTTGTCCTTCTAGAGAAAACATGACTTTTGAGTCCATATACCATTCTACATTGTAAATTAGATTATATGTCATGTCTCCAATAAGGTGTACAGGTGTGTGCTTTTGTGGTGTATTGATGCATATTGTAATTAAAATTAGATGTCTTTTGTATACATTGATGTAACATATTTAAAATTTCATGATAAATACATAAATATTGTAGTATTTTGAATTTGAATTTTTTTTATTTGAACCAAACTATATGTGTGTGTACTTATATATACTATTAATAAATCTTGTGCATCGGATCCAAGATCTAATGGACTTAAATATATTAAAAATATATTAAAGTGGGACAAAATTGTGGTTGCATTTATGTAAATAAATAAAAAACTTTATTCTTTTCAAAAATTTGACTTTTTGTGTGGAATAGAGGGGGTGTTTGGAAATGATTCTGCTTCAGCTTCTGTTTCTTTTTTAAAGCAGAAGCAGAAACAGAATCAGTTTTCAGAAGCTGATCTCCCCCTGCTTTTAAAAAAACTAATTGTGGGAGTAAATTGGAGCACCGGAATTACTTTTGCATTTTCACCTAAACACTCCAACTTTTGCTTCTGCTCCCTGAAGAGCAGAAGCAGTTTTAAGAATCAGATTCAAGGTAGATGATGAAAACCATATGAATAAAATAGTCCACTTAAGATGATCAAAAGTGGAGTCATTGGCAATTTATATGGGAATATATACCACTTTTTATTGGAACCTGAACCTATTATATATTTAATTATGTATATGCACATACACACTTCTTTTTATTTAATCCAATATCCATGTCTTACAAAAATTGCGAATGCAATGCATTGGTTACATTTAAGTAGACTTGCACAAAACCAGGTTGGGCCGCCCAGCCCGCCCGCACAAATGAGCGGGCTTAGGCATATATATTTACTCACCGGGCCCGGCCTGGCCCAGCCCGTAATAACATATGGGTGAGCTTGAGTTAGAGTGTAGGCCCGTTACAAAAAATCTACACATTAAAAATACCGTAGCAATTTTTATTATATATATATATACACACACACACACTAATTTATTTATTTATTTACATGTACACATGTATATCTATATTTACTAATTTATTTTTATACATATTTATAGTTTATTATGTTTAAGTTTAAGTTTTTAGTTCTTAACAACTAGCCCAATCAATATAATATCTCTTTTGTACTTAAAGATAATACTTTGTGCTTGAATTTTAAATTTTAGATATAGTTTCTCTTTATTATTTTTGTGTATGTGGTGAAATGCATATAAACATTATAAGCGTATTAGCAATTTTTTAAATATTGTAATATTATTTATAAAGCATTAAAAAATTATATAATTTTGAAAAATTTATGAAAGTTTTCCGGGCCAGGCGGCCCGGTGGACTACCCGGCCCGCTCTTACGGGTGGGTATCCAATAAGGTGTATGGTTGTGTGCCTTTGTGGTGTATTGAAGCACATTGTAATATTAGATATCTTTTTGTAGATACATAGATATTGAAATTTATATACATAAATATTGTAGTATTTTATTTGAATTTAAAATTTATTTATTTGAACCAAACTGTGTGTGTACTTTTATATACTACTCCGTATTAATAAATCTTATGCATCGAATCCAAGATCTATAATGGACTTAAATATATTAAAAAATACATTAAAGTGGGTCAAAATGTGGTTGCATTTATGTAAATAAATCAAAAGCTATAATCTTTTCAAAAAGTTAACTTTTTGTGTGAGATAGAGTACGGTAAATGACCAAAAGTAGATGATGAAAATCATTTGAATAAAATAGTGCACTTAAGATTATCAAAAGCGCAGTCGTTTTCAATTTATATGGGAATACTACTTTTTATTTGAACATGAACCTATTATGTATTTATATATTTATATGCATATACACACTTTTTTATATATAATCCAATATATACATGCATTAGACAAATTGCCAATCCAAAGCATTGGTTACATTTAAGGACTAAATACATTTAAGTAAGATTTGTAGACATCTATGAAATTGCAATCCTCCTCATTGTGATATATTTAATTCTTC